GACACCAGAAACCTTGAATCAATCACGTCTGGCTCTTTACACTCATGAATACCTTAACCACTGTGACTCACTAAAGACTTTTATTAACCTGTTCATACGTTTAAAGGATAGATGCAAGGGCAAGTTTGAACGATCATTCAACCAATGAACAACAGCATTAATACAGTCTTGTTCGATATGGCTTGGACAAAAAAGGATTAAATGGTTTTGTTTCACTGTTATCCAGTTAATCGATATAAAGTAATAGTGTATGAAATGTAGGAAATAAAATACTAGATTAATAGATGGTTAATAGCACTATATGAAAATACTTCATGATCAGGTCTAGTTTTTGACGCGCTGTGAGGGTTACTGTATCGGATAGATTTATCCAACGGCTATTTCCCTTCACGCCCACAGATTTTTTAATGTGACACACCAGGAAAATCCCTTCGGATAAAAACGTTGGTGCCTGTGTTTCAATACGGCAAGAGAGGGCAGTTTTCGTATCTGGCCGTCTTTAACCTTTTTGCAAGTTCGGGCGACTGGTCATCAGGATATAATTTGTGCACAGGTTGCTAGGGCCCAACTAGTGCTCCACGAATGGTCGTTCCCCGAACTAGCCCTAAGACTTCACCTGACGGCATTTGGTGCATCTTTGAGGGAAACGCCGCAGACAATAACTTCCACTTATGAAGCCGAAATAGCTCCTCAGGGATTCGACAAAAATAGCCGGTTATCTCTTACACTTACATCTTCATGATGTATCTAATGAAGTCTGGATGTAGTATTCTGATATCTTGAGTTGCTACTTTGATCTTCGGCTCCAGGCCTCGTACGACAGAGGTGATGTATTTGTAGTCGTTGTCCCGGCAAGGTACAAATACATAAATTAATCCCTACGTTGTGAAAACGAAGCGGAAGCAAGGTCAACTTTTGAATCACATGAAAAATTGAATCGAAAAGCCACTGACGATTGAGCTATTGAACAGCTAACATTACCTCGCATAATGACACCTGACTATTTAGTTTTCAATGGACGAATTCCCACTTTGTCACCACTGTGGCCGTCAGATGCCTAATAAGCACATCTATTGTTCTGATTCGGCAGCAAGGAATGAATGAACAGTTTATTATTGTTTTGCCTTTGATGATTATTTGCGGCACAAAAGCACGCCCTCTTCTGACCACAGCAGTCTTATAATTACACCCGGCACTGTTATACTTATAATTATAATGTATAATTATTTAGTGTTTTATGTAACAGCAATGTTGTTGCCAACAGCCCAGTATCGATACGATATGGGAGTGGCTATTTAAGGTTGCAAAACACATAGACCCTCAAGTACGGTACAGCTTGGTGAACCAAACCACGATTTGCATGTCATCAAGTTCTTTGCTTTTACGGGTTTTCTGAAAACGGAAGGTTGGAAATCGTGGACAGACCAACATGGTTGTAGTTTTGTGCACGTGAATGAAACTGGGCCCTTCGAGTGATTTGTTTATCGCATTTGAGGCATGATTCTTTTCAAATGGGGCCGGACGACGGGGCTAGCCTACATTTAGGTTTTACGGTTGCTTATCTTTGGATTATGGTTTTCTATCCCCAAAGCGATCCAGTTACCTACAAAAATTGAATACAGACTGAAAGATGGGGGAGTGCAGTCAAATATGTCCCGAAAGGCTTGAAGAGTTGCAACTCTAGTTGTGCAGAAGTGGCTAGGTTCGCTCGGACAGGGAGGCGTGGCTCGAAAGGGTAACACAAGAACTCTATGGCAGCGATTAAATTGATGTGCAGGATAGTTTAATGAAGAAAACCGTCTGTGTATGATACCCAGATAATCAGAAAAAAAGGGTTGGTGACTGGCAATTGATCAGAATACCGTAGCAATCTTAGGGAAACTAGGATTAAGTAAATGAAGGGGTGGAACTCAAACCAGTGGTGAAATCTTGGAAATATGTGGAACAGGAAACCGGATGGTGAAATTGTCAGTAATGCACGGTAAGGGCAAAATTCAAAAGTATTCTGGTTGGTTAACCAAATTTCAAAACGAAATGTATGGCGCCAAAACGAGCAAACTATTCAGGGTGCCCTACTGACTACTGCGCGGTCATCCGACAGTACAGTGAGGGACTTTCTTACACTACCGAGGTTGACTTTTGGAAGAGGGTGTTTTTCACTCTAGACTGTAACAATGTAATACAGGTCTGCCATACCAATATACAATCAAACCGTTTTGTCTAGTTCCCTTTGTAACCAGAACACTGATATTTTGTATCAACCTATTTCATAGTTACAGAAATGGTACGCCTTTTCACACAATTATTTGCAGGGGAGAAATCCACGATGGCCGCACCGTACAATATACTTCTTACTTTGTCAGCAGGAACGTCAACCACGCTGGTGTTGCGTAGAGATCGATCGAAGAAAAAGTAATGCGTCGCCCGCTGGCCAACATCCTTTTCATGGTGTCTTCTCACAGCTTTGTTAACGCTGATTTTGAATTGAAAAAAAAAAGGTTTTGTGATAAAAATACAAATATAGGCATGTTTCCTGATTGTAATGGAACTAATCACGTTACGTAGGCCTACTGCTAAAAGTCAAGGTAATTTCTTCAGTAGCTTCAGTTTATATGAACATTTCATTCACTGAATACGGAACGAAAAATTGTGCTCAACGTTTAAACTGCACCAAACGCTAGTACCGGAACCACGTGCACCTGGCAGGTGTCTCACGATAGGTTGTCTACCTTAGTGCCCAGAGCCGAACGGTAACGGATGGAGTTGGCAGAAAGTGACGTACTGTACTGTATTTAGCATTCACGCACCAGGGCAGAAACCAGCTTACATATCTTATCTTGCTGACTTCAGCCAAAAAACAAACAAAACGTACAAAAATAAAACGCCAAGATTCAGAATGGGTATATGCGCTGTGCCTTGAAAATCGCTCAGGTTTCCAAACAGCAGTTTATAGGCTATCCCTACTGGATTGCCCGCTCATGGTGACAAGTTCCGCAGGGACCCACGTTATTTCATATTCTATTTGCAGCGTGAATTTCCGTCACCGCTCTTCTGCAAAGCCACAGTCATCCCTGAAACTTTTTCGCTTTCTGCACAAAGTCATGGTTCCAATCTACCTTGGCACGTGTGATAGATAGTATGAGCATGTCGTAATCGCAAATCTGCCAGTGACGCCTGGGCGACATAAACCGACGCAAGGACTTGTAGGTTGCAGAAAAATGCAAGGGGCAAAAACAGATTCTGTCACGCATGTTATTCCCTGAAATGAAAACACTGACCGGAAGACCATGTGATGGTTGTCAATCTCTTCACCCTTTTTAGATCCGTTGAGTACACCCCCGTTGCAGACGACTGCACAGGACAGACATTCCGGCCGGGGTTTGTCCTTTGAGAATTCGAATATGGAGCTCTTGGCCGGGAATAGCTTGAGCGTTGCTAGCACATCTAATAATAGAGAAAACGAGTTATGAAAAGTGATCTGGTGATGCATTAATCATCGAATTTTCATCGTGATTCACGGCTTTGAAAGTTCCAAAGACAACGACTGCTCACTGTTTTGCCAGTTTTGTATTTAACGTCGCCGGTACCAGCTGGGTAATCACTATAATTTTTGTTTGAAGTTTCCGTTTTTACAAGCTTTAGACTTTGTGACACTGTCCTCAAGTCTACAGGAGCCTGGAGGTAAAAGGTAAATGTCCCCTTACAGATTCTTGTATATAACTAATCCGACCGTCCGTAATGCTCATTTTCTTGAGCAAATCCAGTGAATTTGAAACGTACCTTTAAAGCTGAACTTTCTCTTGTTTTTGTAACCGAACGGCATGTAAAACGGAGCCAACCGTAGGTACTCAGACTTGTTTAAGAGTTCGCTGTTCATCAACAAATGGAGCTCTGGGTGGAATATGGTCGGGCCCCGCCTATTATGAGACATTCTCTGTGCGACCGAGGTCGAGCATTTCTACCAAAAAATTACAAACAATTACCGGTAACATTTAAGCGAGTGCAGCAACACAAAGGTAAACTTCCAAACTTTCAGAGCTTTGACAAGGAAATACAGCAGTTCCCAGTGGCAAATAGGCCTATTATCTGTAATTTTGGTTTCAGAAACGGTTAATCTTCTAAAACACAGCCAATTTCTGTCTGTGTCATCCCTTGCAAAGTGGGTTAACATGTGAATCAGTTAATAATTGATGTTTCTGAAAGTGGAAGGATGCACGTTCATTTTATTGAGTTATTTTAGGACATATTTAGGCAAAGACTACAGAAAATAAAGAGGATGAAATCGAAGCGACTAAGTAGAAAAACTAACGGTATCGCATTGTTTCCAGGTCAGCAAAATTGAGGGAGTGAAGAATTACGTCCAAAATTACTTGGCTCTGGCCGAGAAAAACACGTTCGCTTAAAGCCACAGGTTAGCAGCTGCAATATATGGTGTGTGTTTCATTGCCTACCGTGGCGAAGGAAATCGGACACAGCCTGTAAAAACAACACGGTTATGGGATCGATTCAGCTGTCCTGAGCTTCAGTTCGGTTTTGTCGTTTTGACTTAATTAGCTTTGTTATAAAGACAGCAACGGCTATTTTAGAAATGATCTCTGACTTTTTTAAGTGTTTGGAATCCATAAGGTTTAGTATGAACCTTAGCTTGACCAAGAGAGGGCGCAGCGGAGGCTCCGCTGGTGGTATTGCTCATCGCTGGTTCACGAACGACTATAAGACGCAAGCCTTGCAACCGCATCGCTACCGACAAATAACCATCCCCATAACGTGGCTCTTTCAGCTGACGTGGGGGTGCTCCTGCTCAAGGTGGATAGGAAAGTAAACTCATTTCTGTCAAGATAGATGTTTTATTTCATTTTTTCCCCGCGAACTCCCTACAGACCTCTAGCCTGGGGAAGCCATGTTGCGTTTGGACCATTGAAACCAATGTAACAAACTGGGGATAAAATAGTCTGTTCGCTTTTATCAATATGTGAAATTGTATAACTATTGCCAATGGGTTTACGGGGCACAAGATAAACATGGCAATATCACAATATAATGTATGTACAATGAACTCAAGGCATCCTATTGATTAGTCTTGGCCCAAGACGTCTGATCGATAGTTGTTTTATTTCTGTTGAAGAGTGCCCTCGAACAACTAGTTAGTGCGAGCTGGCGCACAGTCTAACTATGAGTCGTTGGGGCGCACTATGCACGGTGTCCGCTATCAAGCACTAACACCTTGAAACCAAGACTACCTATTGGTAGGCGTACTCGTAACTGAATTAAGATGGCATGTTGCTTCGTCTTACCGATGGAACATAGACTGGGCTTTTTCGGAAAGCAAGTTCCCGTCCTTTTCCTCCTTTGAAGGTCACGAAACCTTCAGAACCGTGGACTGTTTCCCAGAAGAAACGATTAGCGTAACGGTTGACATCCCAGGTTCTTGGGGAAAAAAATCATAAAGCCAACTGTCAAAGGGAACAGTGGTGGAATGGTTTTCGGGGGGGGGGCAGTTGTGAGACTATCTCGCATAAATCATTAATAGGCCGATCCATTAAGCCCCATCCCATTATAGGACCTTCAAAAAGTGTGTGGGGGATGCCCCCAAGTCGACAAAGTCGGGGAAGGGGCGCTGCCTGCCGCTTCCGCCACCAGTGGTCAAATGTTTACAACGGATGTAATTCGACGGTCGGCGACCGAGGTCAGATGTGGTTCTAAACAGATGAGTTTATAGATGCATACAGGGAGGACGAGCATCGGGGACACGATGCCATTTTTTAGGAATTGAAAGAGCCAATAGGCCCTACTTTAGACACGTTACAAGCATCGTCCTTGGAGGGGAAGGATGAAAACAAACGGGTGATCATCTCAGAAAAAATACTACCCCACCCATCTAAAGACTCAAAACCCGCTTAACCTGGAGTTCGGGTTTAACTCTTGATAAAATCCAGGCAACTGGAGAAAGGAACTTAAGTTGCCACTCACGGATTGACCGGCTCGGTCGATGTCGTTGCAGCGGTTGTGTGCTCCCAGCTCCCCTTTAGGCAGTGAGAACCGAGCATGGAACACAGAGAACTCATCAGTCTGTCGAATAGAATTGTATTACAATGCGTTACGTATTAGAAACCATTCAAATGAACGGTACATGTATCGGCTTCCTATACGGGAATATACCATAGGGGGCCAAAACCATTTGTTTTTCAAAGCGCTTGCACGCTGCGGCGAGCAAGATATTATTTTGTTCAACAGATAACTCGATTGAACTTTCAACATGCTTGGCTTTAGCCCTTCTGCACTTCTATATTTTGAGACAGAAGTGCTAAACTAAATAGTTGTTTCATAACATATAATAGAAAAAAAAATGGCTGCTAACAGACGCCGTTTTTTTTTCGCTACCTGATTTTGAAGTTGTAAACGCAATAGTAAGTCTGATAACGCCGCAAACCATCAAGTAAAATGCAAAAGAGCCAAATATTGCAGTACCTCAATTTAATTTAAACGCTTCAGGCCCACTGGTTTCGGAGACGAGGCCTGAGACAGAGACGAAGTTGAGTACTGGAAAACGGCCAGATCTTCCTCAAAAGCAATTATGACCACTGTGTTACACAATATGAGCGATTTACTGAATAGAGACAGTAGGTACCTGCCAGTCATGACCGGGAGGGGGGTAATTATTCAATAGACCATCCGCCATGTTAAAATGTGGGGATGTATACCCCCACCAGCGATTTACGTCCATGTTTTTCTCTCTTTATTTTGCACGCATTTTGTAGGCAGGTTATTCAAATTATTATAAGAACATTTCTACCCACTCATTACGTCAGTCGCCGTTTCCAAAGTCCATGATGAAATAATCCTAACATGAATGCAATTACGGCACTATGCACGGATGGCATTCTAGTTCCATCGGGTTTTGAGTGTATATCGAAAGATATGCCTTTCGGACATTTTGTCCCAATAAACTCAAACACTCATGATTATTTCACACAATCGACGGTCAACAGTGCAGTGTTATATTTTGTTAATCACAGAAAAGATATGGTGAAAGGACGAAACGATTTCCTTCAGATATCAGTCCTCGGTAGTATAGTGGTTAGTACGTTACTACGGTACGTGTATTTGCTCCTGACCCCAAACCTGGATACTCAATGAACTATGAAATACGCTGTGTGTGCTGTCAATCTGTGATTATACCCAGTCGGATGACTCTTCCGAACAGAGCATGTCATGATGCCCTATCCAATCACAACCCCGACCATGGGTCTCCTTGTACGGCAGAATAAAATACCGGTTCACTCCTTACATCCCCGTACATTTGACCACATAACAGCGTCTAAAAAGACCTGAGAATAAAAATATTGCACAAAATGTCTACTTGTTGATAAACGGAGTGTCCTGCCAAAAAAACCAACAGTTACAAAAAACTGTCACAGTGTTAAGCCACGTTAAATCAGGCACATAGATTTCATACCATAAAATGCGCCAGGGCTTAAGCTTCATTTTGGCACCAATTGTAAGTTGATTCCTTTTTGCTTGACTGGCCAACCAATTTTGTATTTTGTCCGAGTTGATGGAAAACAACAATTGCCATATCTCCTCACGCAACACTCGCATACACGTACTCACCTTCTGTTCTTAACCCTCTCAAGTGTTACTATTAATTCATAGTTGAATGGACTGGTAGCATTCAGGTATAACGTGACAGCCAGGAAAAGGATGACTACAGCCGCTATCAGCCTGATGATGAGGCGATCACTGCACCGTGACGCCAACGGTGCTAATCGAGCGCTACAGCTGTCGGAAACAAGGTAACGGCGGTTCATCTCAGACGAAGAAAGGCAGTAATGGTCTTTGGTACACGGTCGAACGACTGAATTCAGATTCTGTTTGAAATCACACTAGCGGGCTTGCGCGATGGTGATATTATGATTGAAGTTTAGTGAATCTAATTTTAGGCAATGTGCAGCGTTCACCGACCAGCTCCATCCTCACTCTGCAAACTAATAATGTAGGGATCTGGGAATTCCCCATCTAATTTAGCGAATTGTGTGAGCTTTGGACCTTGTGCACGCCTTCAAGGCGTGATTGGGCCCACGTGGATATCGGGTGCACAGCATGTACATGTACAGTTAAGTATTTTCTGTAGGTCTTGCCTGTCGGCCGGAAGTGGCCTATAATATGATACTTTTTGGCGGCACTGAAGTTGGGCGGGTTCCCGAGGTTTTTTCAGGAGAGCGGGGAGTGCTGTGCGAGACGACTGGGTGGATGGATGTTGTGATGGCTCGGCCGGGAATCACGTAGATTAGCACCAATTTAATTGTCCAAGCAGTTGTGATTATAAAAGAAATCCAGTCCGCTTGAACACCCAAGTCTTTCGGTGCCTGCTGAACTTTCTTTTTGCCTGCCTGGCCTCCAATTCCCCCTTCAGTGGCGGACGGACCGCCGCCCCCGAGCGATCGGCCAGGGGCCGGACCACTACAAAAATGGCGTCGTAGACAGGATGGAGGCTACTGTTTTGGCAGGCATGTGTGCTTCATGTCCGACCCTGCCTGATGTCTTGGACCGTTACTGTGGCTTGGTGGTGAGGCTGCACGATTTTCACCATGGAGGTTCTTGAGTCCGAGTCGTCAGTCCCTGATGTCCATGTGGTTACGGTCGCTTCGGTGTTGCACCGCTGCGGACGGGAAGGAGACACGAGGCTGTACCGTCCTGTGAGTTTTCGGGTCTTTGCCGTTTGCAGTTCGCGGCGATCAAGCCCAGCTAAGTTGAACTTCAAGCTAAATATTGGACTGGAACACCCCAGGAAGCCGGAATCTGTAGCACTGGTCAGGAACCAGGTGATTCCCCTTCTGATGGAGTTGTCGTCTATAACACTCAAGTTCGAACTCATAAATATTGTAGTTCTTGTTAAGCTGTGCACGAGTACTTATTTAGCCTACAACTGTTATTAGTTTAAAGGAAAATTCCGTCTTACTTGTTATTTGTAAATTTCAAGATAAGCTTTGTGACAATGTCATGATTTATTCCTTGTATTTTGGGGAAGATTTGTGAAGTTTTTCGATGTGCTATTTATGTAAGCCTAGGGATTTTGCTTTTATTGCTTCTTATTTTTGCCACATGTGTGAGTGGCGTATGTTGAGCACATTTTTTAGAAGTGCCTGAATGTCATAGTCGCACTTAATTTCCCCATTTCTTGTCATGGCGGTTTGCATTTTACACTCCAGTACTGTGCTTGCCTTATCGGCTTATATTTATAGAATAAGGTCCTTGTGTGAGTAGGCTATGTACTATCAGTGTGTACAGTATGTTATCATGTATTCCCTTATTGACAGCCTTGTTTGTTTGGTCATTGTACCCTGTATGTGAAGTTTGACTTCACCTTTGTAATCATGGCTGCACTCACAGTGCTTAAAGATGCACTTGCCATTCGTAATGACTTTAACTTTGATATCTGTCCTTGGTAATAAAGTGGTTGGTATCTCGGGAGACCGGGATTCGATTCCCCGCCTGAGACCACTTCCCCTCCCACCCCAAAATCAGCTAGTCATTGTAAAAACTGACACATCTACTGTGAAAGGATGAAATTAAACTCAACTCTAGCATTTCAGTCTGTAACCCAAGGGACTGGGGTCATTCCCTGCTGGGGGGAAACGTTTTCAATGGTGTTTCAAGTATATCAACAGCCTGATAATATTTAGGCGATAAGAGCCGGCTTTATTTTGGGCCATCTCAAAGCCAAGGATGGATTTTTAAACAGTTTTTTCCCAGTCATGTAAAGAAATGCCTAATCAGTATCAGCACAATCCGGCATTTGGTTTTGTTGTTACTGTCATTTGAAGTTCAAATCCACACGCGTGCCAGCGCAGTCCGCGTGCATTGAACATGGCACACAGTGGGAAAAGTTTTGGCTGATCTGCCCGGTTCAAATTGTCGCTGCTGGAGAACAGCATGTTCAGTTGTCACAAGATTTACGTCAAAGTGACCGCAAAGAGGTACCAGAAAACCTCTAAACTCTCGGCACGTGAAACACGAGCACTGATGTGGGGGAAAATGTCTGGAAGAGTCAGATTCCATCTCCGGCTCTATTATGGCTAAACACGGGATGATCACAAACTAAAATTGTCTTGCAGTGTCGACATCTTACCAGCAATAACAGTGGCGTATCCAACCCCCGTTAGGGATTAAAGGCGCTAACATTCAAGAGACGGTGAAATATCACCTTTCTTTTGGGGGGAGGGGCTTGGTGGGAGTACTACGGTACATGTATTTGCTCCTGACCCCAAACCTGGATACTCAATGAACTATGAAATACGCTGTGTGTGTTGTCAATGATGACTCTTCCGAACAGAGCATGTCATGATGCCCTATCCAATCAGACCCCCGTCCATGGGTCTCTTTGTGCGGCAGAATAAAATACCGGTTCACTCCTTATATCCCCGTACATTTGACCACATAACAGCGTCTAAAAAGACCTAAGAATGAAAATATTGCACAAAATGTCTACTTGTTGATAAACGGGGTGTCCTGCCAAAAAAACGCAACAGTTACAAAAAACTGTCACAGTGTTAAGCCACGTTAAATTAGGCACATAAATTTCATACCATAAAATGCGCCAGGGCTTAAGCTTCATTTTGGCACCAATTGTATTAAGTTGATTCCTTTCTGCTTGACTGGCCAACCAATTTTGTATTTTGTCCGAGTTGATGGAAAACAACAATTGCCATATCTCCTCACGCAACACTCGCATACACGTACTCACCTTCTGTTCTTAACCCTCTCAAGTGTTACTATTAATTCATAGTTGAATGGACTGGTAGCATTCAGGTATAACGTGACAGCCAGGAAAAGGATGACTACAGCCGCTATCAGCCTGATGATGAGGCGATCACTGCACCGTGACGCCAACGGTGCTAATCGAGCGCTACAGCTGTCGGAAACAAGGTAACGGCGGTTCATCTCAGAGGAAGAAACGCAGCAATGGTCTCTGGTAGTGGTACACGGTCGAACGACTGAATTTCAGATTCTGTTCGAAATCACACTAGCAGGCTTGCGCGATGGTGATATTATAACTGAGTTTAGTGAAGCCAATTTCAGGCAATGTGCAGCGTTCACCGAGCAGCTCCATCCCGACTCCGCAAAATAATAATAATAAAAATTAACAGTTATGGGCACTAGACTTGTCTTCCTCATGTTTGCAATCATTCGTTCAGGGTTCAAGCTTTTTCAGAAGCTAAAAGATGAGGACATCAATTTTCCGCAGCATTAATCATTATCAGCTATATTCCATCCGAGGTAAGCTGGCCGACGTGTTTATAGCTTGTCACTTTAACATGTAATTTCCAGGTAATGCCTCCCACTTAGATGAGATTAATGGACTGACACGCATACATTGTCCCCTGCAGTCTGTTTCAGGGTAGATAAATATGCTTTCCCCATATAGTGTTTTGCTCTAATCACAGAGCAAGATGCAGGTGCATGTAGCAATCAAAGTGGAGTGTCCCTGTATCTTTTACTGCGGTTGGTTACGTCAAATTCAAGGCCGCGGTGCGTGCGTATATAGCCACGAAGGCCACCTTGATTAAAAGGGTATATGCATATTACCCTTGCCACGGGACTCTCGAGAAGTGTGGTATTATACCAATTTCGCCGTTGTCATTTGTTTCCGATATACATGTACTTCTTATATAACGTTAATGTCTATGAGCTGGCATTGCGCCTTCTTCAATCAATGAGGTTGCCAAGACGAGAGGATGACGCTATTCGCTTTTCCTCAGCGGTGGCCTTTATAGTATTTGATATCACTTTTCACAACAAAAAGTCACTTCCGAGTGCTGGCGGCTGCAAACATTTTTTAAACATTGACCATCATTTTGTATGGGTGGCCAAAGTTTTTAGAATACCCAACCTTCGTTGGTAACACCCTTCGTCTAAAGCAGCCCTTTTTGCTTTCATTATAAAATGAGAGGCGCCAGTGTTTTGTAGTTTTTTTTACCCTGTCCTGAGTATATGCCCCAATTTTATAGTAAAATTTATTTTATATTAAAATTCCATGTGAGGCAGGGTTTTCAGTGTAAAGAACTGGTTTTCCATCTTTCAGCACATTTGTGAAATAAGATAATTCAAAATAACTCAGAGATGAGCAGTGAGGGGGATATCTTTCAGTTTTTGAAAGCGTACGTGTTGAAAAACTCATTTTCTTCTCGCCTTAAATAAATAAAATACAAAGAGTAATCGTTTTTGTAGTTCAAATAGCACATTGAGGTGGAGTAATATGGACATGTAAAGAGCTTAAAGTTTATTGTGGCCTTCAGCGCTTGACAATTAATTTTTAAGGAGTAACTTTATTAAAAATGTAAACAACCCAAAGTTGTTGGTCACCGAACAATAAACACGACCTCCCACGTCCACGATGCGGAGCAATCATTAAGCTGCCATGGCAACGGGCTGGAGTTCAAGGCAGTTGTGCCATATTTCTTTCATACTGCAAAACCTCTCGTTTCACGCAATTAGGTCAGCTCGGTTGGTGAACGGTTCAATCGATGATGAAAGGATAATAGAGATTCCTGCATAACAGAAATTATGCGTCAGAAGACTTGTTCATTTATTCATTCTTTCACTGTGTAGATTTGAAGTTCGGGCGGCTTGTTCTCGTAATTCACGAACAGCTTGATTCGTTGTTCTTGGGTCGGCCGCCCGAACGCCGGAAACATACAACCGGTTGTCGGTGATTGTTAACGACAAGCAACATGCAATATGGCGGTGTCCATGTACGTTATTCAAGAGTTAATGTTTGGATAACTATGCTGAACTCTTTTCTATTTAAACAGGAACATTCTTTTCTGTCTTACGGAAAATGATCGATGTTAATTTTGCAAAACTTCCTGTCGTCTCTGGCTTTGTAAGCCGTCTCTCTACTTTTTGCAGCTGTTCAACACTCAAAACCTCAGGAGTTTTTCTGAGTGTTCCGTAACCCTGACGAGGAGGTGGTGTGTGATCCTGTTCCGAGAACCGCGTTCTTGAGTCGTGTTCCCACTGTTCGAGCGCAAGAACAAGAAACCCGTATATTGAACGGGCTGCCCGAACTCGACCACTATGATAAACCAAACTAAACCAAATTAAAGTAATATACAAGTCGAACCCCAAAGGGGCTGCTTGAGCACTAACCTCTTTTTGTCTGAAAGAAATGGAATTGTTTTTGTCATGCAAAGGACGAGTTATTGGAAGTGGTTCTTTATTCAGTACTGAGAAAGTGACAGAATATTATCAGGTTTCCATGCCAACTTGACCATACTGAGAAACCAAACTTCTGCGATAAAAAGCATGCACTCTTACAAAGTAACAAAAAGGAAATACAAAGGAAACTCACCAAAATTTTCTGTGAAGTATAAATGTTACCGGTACTTTACATTTTGCCGCAATTCTGTCATTATTATGTTTCACCAGCAGCTATCAAAAATTAACAAGTGCATTATAATGATTTATTCAGAGCTAAATACTGCATGTTTTCCACAAAGGTTGTATATCGCTACCTAGCTATTGTGAGAATGCCGTGGAGCCTGTGCTGGCATATTTATAATTAATTGGATATTCTGACACAAGACTACCCATACCGACGCCTTATTATGCATTGGCTCGACCAAATCGCCGATTTGAAATGGTACAGTTCTGTTATCTTTTTTCCCCGAGCAACAATTCTCCTAGTCTTGGATTCAAGACGTTAGTGATTGATAGCGGACACCGTGCATAGTGCGCCCCCAACGACTCATGATTAGACTGTGCGCCAGTGAGAGTAAGTAAAAACTAGTTGTGCGGGGGCGCTCTTCAACACAAATAAAACAACTATCGATCACTGACGTCTTGGGCCAAGTCTATAATTCTCCAGGCCTTTCGTCAACGTAGTTATAATATCCCGACTACCGAAGGACCTAATGCTAAGTTATGGAAAGTGACTTTGTTCTCTAACCTCTTGAACTTCATCATTTAACCCGGCTACTTCTTGAACTATGGACTACAATGGTCGAGTTCGGGCGGCGTGTTCTTGACACGGGTTTCTTGTTCACGCGCTCGAACGGCGGAAAGACGACTCAAGAACACTGTTCTCGGAACAGGATCACACACCACCTCCTGGCCAGGGTTTTACAGGAACACACGGAAAAACTCGTGAGATTTTGATTTTTGAACAGCTGCAAAAAAGTACTACAGATGGCTTCCAAAGCCATAGACCATTTAGACAATGGGAAGTTTTGCAAAATTGACATTAATTAATTATTTTCTGTGCAACAGAAATGAATTTTCCTGTTTATATAGAAAAGAAATTAGCCCATCCAAACCTTAACTCTCGAATAACGTATATGGACGCCGCCATGTTGCATGTTGCTTGTGATAACCGGATGTTTGTTCCTGGCGTTCGAGCGGCCGACCCACGAAGAACAAATCGAGCTGTTCGCGAACATACGGGAACAAGCCGCCCGAACTCGGCCTATGGTCGTAAATATATTGTATTACTTTCTTTCGGTGTATCACAAATGCTACGTGTGCATTTTCTGTTAGTCTTGCACTTGGTTTCCAGAGCCTCACATGAAGAAAATTAAATCGGTGTTCCTCCAACTCAAATATTGCGCGTATCTTGCTCAGTTCATTACAATAGTGCAACTCATGAAGTTGAAAGTACTTTGTATGATCACCAACCCGATCCCGTGGTGTGCCAATATGGTTGACGTCATCAGGCGCCAAATTACAAGCAGTTACAAGTTTTGAGTTTAAGATCAAATAGGACGACCTTAAACTCTAAAAATTGCTGCAAAAAACAGCAGTTGAACTATCTCACGATTGATTTGATGTGGATTTTTGAAAGATGAAAACTTTCAAAGTTTAACATTATATTTGTCGTGTACGCAAAATCACCCAACTCTTGCTTCCGCTTTAAACCAGTGGTGTACTGGTACCTTACTCTGTGCAAATGGGAATGGGAAAAGATATATGAAATTGTTTTCAATGGAGTTAGTCTTCAATAAGGGGCCGTTCATTTCAAGGTCTCATTGTGCGTATTTTAAGTGGTACAGTGAAGTTTGGTTTTCTGTTGGATCATCGCCGGACTCTAAGGAGCGATAGTTTCAACTCGGGGTACTCATTTACGAAAGCCTCCAACTTGTGGGCATACTTTGCAAAGAGGCGAGCGGCTAAATGAGGGCCTGAGCCTGGAATTCGAATACCATTTTAAGCTAGGAGGCAGGGTTTGAAAAATGTGGTATGATTAACGCTGTTAAAATTCGAAAGAACATGGTCCCAGTGGTTATATGTTTCCAGTCGAACACGGAGAACTCGTCGATTTAGCGTTGCTCTGTGTAGACAATTCCGGTGACCATAGTAACACTATCACTGGTTTGCAGGAAATTGCAGCGCCCCCTTTTTACTAAGCAGTCACTGTACGGAGCCACTGCGATGTAACAGTCGCTCCGCACAAAACCCAGTAGAATGTTGTACCGTCATGGGGGGGGTGCATCACGAGTGTCCAGTGAAACATCAGTGGGTTCGTCTATATATGGACGCAATGTAGTGCAGTGAAACCTTATTGGCTGTATATTACAATTATTTTAATCCTAGAAGAGCCGGGCACAATCCACCCCCCTGGACATTTTTTTCCAATATCGCCGCAGTGCATTTTTTTTTCGGACGTTGAACCTTTTGGAGTTTTTAAAGTAGCTCTTTGCAGTCACTTTGACATCATTTTTGCCCAAAATATGTGGTTTTATTTTGGTAATAAATTCTTCTTAGCCCTCTATTTCAGTTCTTTTGTATTCATGTAAAGACGTTTCCTATGATATAAAGCGAAAAAATGCATCTTTTTCATTCTTCAAAAAGAATATTGATTTTTTACCACATTATTTGTGTTTCACATTTGAAAACGAAAATCGAGAAATAATTCCTTCCTTTTTTATTTTTCGCTTTCAAATTAAAACGAGAGAAACGACTCATTATTCGAATTTGTTATTCCTTTTTCAGATTTGAAAACGACACCAGTTTTTCGATTATCATTTTCCGTTTTCAAGTCGAAAAACTAAGGAACGAAGGAATTCGGAACCCTGAGACTATGCTATACCCAAAGTATAGTTTTATGTAAGCATTTCTCACTAACAGGCTCAAACTCATAATGAAACACGCATGTCCATAAAATGTTGACAGAAATTAGCAGGTTACCTTCTGACGAACTTTATTACAATATTATAGGTTTTCCCGGCCAATTTCAAGAAAAAAGTTCCCGCCCTTTTCGTCACTACGTATTAATTTTCACACAGATACTACGATTTTCTTCTGTTGTGGTTTGTTTTTCCTTTTTCTGATACTCAAATTCGTTTTCGTACTCACAGTTTGTTACGTTTGCCGTTCAGTTTAGTTTCCAGTTCCATTTTAGTTTGTTTACAGGCATTCAAACCTACACTGCCACCATTCTCCAGTACAATCTCTGCTGGCTTTTACCAATAGGCGCTGTCAAATTAAAACTTATCAACGCGTATAAGATCTTTTACCTACGCGTGAGTTTCTTTTTCGTCTACAGTAAATCTATTTCGTGTTCGGAGTGTATAGTTATGCTGTTGGTCTTTTATTGCAAGTCGTTGGGTATGATGCCATAGTTCCATAATCATTTTTTGATGACTATGAATGATTCCTTTGTATCCTTTACTTTGTGTTGGTATACGCAATTATGTATGTGCTGATGCGGTTGTTTTTGTATTTCTTATCCGACTGTTGGGACCAAAATGTATATATACTGGTTAACAAAGGTTCAGGGGAAAAATTCAGCATTAACAGTAAAACACGAAACGAAAAAAAAAAGAAAAACAATTCTAGGCCATTCTCTGCGTCGTTGCCAAGCTTAATCAGCTTTCCCTTTCTAAGAACTTTACTTTCCTGTGACAAAAAAAACTGTCTCACGATCCATAAACCTGTTTTCCTCGGAAATCAGATTTTATGTAGCCTGTATGCCCTTGTTGCTGGAATAAATTTGAATTAACACAAGTGAAACAAGATTGCTTATTGACTAAATCGAATGACCTGATCAAATCCTCTGACGATGTGACTGAACGAAGCGACCTTTGGAATTGAAATGAACGTATTCCCCTAAAGAATGCTCGTATCAATAACGAAATAACGAAGACTGTTTTTGATTATTGAAAGCTCGGGTGAAGGATTATTCTTTTTAAAACGAAATTGAATGGGCCCTGTGTTGAATTGAATGACGTTTTTGCTGAAATTGGCCGGGAAAACCTAGCAAATACGGCGGTGTCGTCCACTGTACCGCCCACAGACATAAATGCCTGTGTTATCACCGGCCTTTTGGATGGTCGTGCTAGGCCAGTAGGCCGAAAACCGCTTGCGCGGGCCAAATCACAATTTGTATGCAACAAATTCTCCACGAAATAGAGCATTTTGTGGCCCATGAACTTGAATATTTGTAGGAAAGACGGGTTTAGGCTGGCAAAGAGAATACCAGCTTGCGTCTGAGTGAGATTTGGATGAAACCGGTGCCTGAAAAACGGTCTATTTTTCAAGAAGTGTAGGCATTGATATTTCAAAATGGCGATGGGCTTCAAGACTGCATTTTAGGGGTGACCTTCCGTGGAAATAAATATCTTCAGAAGTCATCGGTCAATGAATGGAAATTTGAAAAGAAAATGAAAAATCATCAACTGGGCTTTAATTTGACGTGCGTCTCAAACGCCTGAGAAACTCGCGAGTATTTTTCCTTATTTTTCTGAAGTTCGGGTCCTACCTCCATGGGGTATGTATCACTGGTGGCTATGCCAGTTTATTTACTGGCCTTCAACCTTGTTGTGCTGCTGCAGTACCCCCTCTATCGGTTATTAGTCCTCATGCATCCAGCGTAGCATCGTGGTCAAAACTTCGGCAAAAAACTTTCGATGAATCAACTGAGGGCAGTGGTCGTACACTGAACTGTTTATCATAGTTCTTGAACGTATAGGGACGCTGTGTACCAGACTACACGTACACATGTACTTCGAAATCGCGTGTACCGTACCTGTATGTTGAATTGGAGTTGGAGAACACTTGGCTTGACGAGGTAGGCCCAATATGGACAATAATTATTACACATGATAAATGAAGGAAATTAATGCAGTATAGTTTGAGACATAGAGTTGCCATGAGTTAAGATGTTTGTAGCTATTGCACAGAGGCTTGGACCGTCCTGAATAGATGTTTCATTTTCAGTTTGAGTTACAAGTAATTACTGGTAACTAAGTTGTTACTGTTAGCAGTGGTTTAGCAATTAGGCTGGTTAGCCCAAGGTAACGTTGGTTGCTAGGCCTGTAACCGTCCAGACCATGGGCATGACTTGACGGGATCATGCTATTAAGCATCGACAAGTGTCAACAAAGCGTCAACAAGTTATTCAAGCATATTTATGCAAAGATTTTTTATGTAAAATGTTCATGGATCCTGTATATCAAATTCAATGCCCCTACTCCCCTAGGCCTATCTGAAATGATATTTTGAGTGTTGAAATTTGAGTGACAAAGTTGGGCCTGTTTGTGTAGTCCAACCGGTCTCCATCTTGTTTTCTCGTGGATGGCAGAGGAAAGAAAGATGGTGGCCCCATACATGTACATCGTGAAAACTTTTCGTTTTCCTGCGAGAATCTGGAATCAAATTTGGTGTTTCTCTTATACAGTGGCAAGTGTTAGAGTCTCTAATCACTTTTAAATCTGTAGAGGGTATTTTGAGTTGTTGACGCTTTATTGATGCTACTTGTGTTGACGCTAAATAGCATGACCGGCCTTGACATGCCCAAACATGCTGAACTTGCTGACCGGCAACGTAAACAGTGTCTGAATTATTCAGGTATGAGATTTTTCAGAATTTTGTCTCAATTTAGACATGTTGAATCTGCAGTATCGGTACCTTGATAGGAAGAAATGCATCTTAAATGTCTTAAACAAGTTACAGACTTTTTATACTCAGTTTCAGATATTTTGTAAAACTGACAATCTCATCCCTGATTATTTGACTACGGCTTGTAATCACACACAACTTCATGATGGGAATCGACTGCAGCCACAGCCATATACATGTACTCGTGTAATTTCAAGCCACAGCAGAGTAACTTAAAGCCTAGGGTAAGGATTCCAGAATCTGAGAAAGTGGTGACATGTCCTAAAATTAGTGTCGCATTTAGCATGGAAAACACCAAGGTTTTTCAGACCACTCTCATACTTGTCGTAGGGTTATTGCACAGGGTGATATCAAGTGATGTCTGAGTATGAAACTATTTCCCACATCAAAGCAGCCAACAACACAATGTCAGTAATATCTTATACTTTGCTACCAGTGCATGTAGCTCAAGTTATTCCGTCATGTCTGTATACTGATGGACATCGACCGGGGTTTTGTGTGATGTTGTGTTGTGTTGTGTTGTAAGGATCGCTATCCGTTGCTACCGTAAGGCTTGTACCGGGTAAAACCTCACTATTCTTTTAGCCATGAGTGGCTGATGAAAGGTTCTTAAACGTGATCCCTGGTTTGTCAGAGTTGCACAGGTAATTTTTTTTTATGAAACAAAACAAAAACTACTGTTCTGTAGCGATGCATACATGTAGCTATTCAAAATGTTTTAAGAATAAATACAGAGCAGGTGAGGCAGGTGAGGAGACATTCACCTAAACAGTTTCCCTGTCTTGTATTCTACATGTATAAAATGAATTTTTAAATGCGTCTATTTTGTCAGTGTTTACTTCGTTCTTTGGAATGTGATATACGTCAGTGAAAACTGCTGTTTAGAAACGTGAAAAATAACTTATTTCTAATAATTTGCTTCCAATGGTATTTTATCCGTTTATGTGTGTGTCCTTATGAAAATGGACACGTTTTCGAGAGATGTAATTTAGAAGTTCGTGAATACATCTGATTACAATACCGAAAGTGGTAAAAACTTGGAATTGTTTAATTCACAAATATTACCTGTGGGCTGTAAATATCAATATCAGTATCAGTATATGAAAAAAAATTGTTAATTAGCCTCTCTACGCAAAAAAGTTTATTTATACAAAGAAATAGAAAAATTCCAAAGTCCAGTGTAAGATAAATTAGCTACATGTATGCATTTTGCTATTCATGTGATCCCTGAGCATATGAAAGCTGAATTTAGGTCGGTTTGTATCTTGCATTTCTCAGCAGTAAAGCAACTCTCAAGACATATCAGACTGCAGACAGGATGTGTTCAATAATGGGGAATTGGGCCAGCTGTTGAGTGCCCGGCATCACTCACTTCATTATGTATGGGCAGACGTGTGACATCACGCCGAGGGATTGCCCCTATGAAGGTCCCCTGTCGAATGGATGGACTTAACCACAGGGCCGGCTGGTAACTTACGGGGAAGCATTGGGCGCACTCATCATGAAAAGGCTGTGGGAAGTGGTGAGGGCTGTCAGTACTTGAACCGCTGCCAGAGGGTGATCCTGTGAAATAGAGACCTCTGTCTCAGTAGTATATTACTAGGAGGAGAGTTGTTCTCATGAATGAGGACAGTATTCCAAAATTAGAGTCATCCGAAAGCTTTCCCAAGATGCTGCTTGATGCAAGAGGCTTCTTATTTCCGTGAGCATGTCATGGCTTACCGGCACACTCTCCAAATAAATAACGTTCATTTGACGAATTGCAGTTTTTGGTGACGATTTACACCAGTTGAACATCTTCGGACTCAGTTTCACTGATCTTTGACTGTAAGCTCTTAGTATCAACCAAGCTTAGGGGAAACGTCTGTTGAGCCTGTCATTCTGTTAGGGGCACTTTGAGGTTCCATTATGTATTTCCTCTATCTGCATGCTGTTGTGGCTTTGCTGCTGAGTCTGAAATCATCAGCGCTGGTTTATCATGAGAGGACTTACTGCCTCAACCCCGCACAGGACACTTACATTCATGGGAGCAGAGCTTCACTCTTCCGGCAGGACTATCTCGAAGTTGGCCGTCGGTCTGACGGACTGGACAGCCGTATCCTCCTGAAGTTTGACCCGGCCGAATTCCTGCAGCAAAGCCAGTGGGGGTTGGAGAGCAGCTTTGCCAATTTGAACAGTTCAGTGGTCGGGAGCGTGACACTCAGATTATCGTGCGTGAATGTCGTCGTAAGAACGAGCATTTTCAGAGGAACAGTTCAGGTGTCCAGACTTCTGTTACCATGGGACCAGACGGTAGTAACTGCATCCATCAGGACCCTCCAAGGTGGTGTTTGGTGGGTGGGAGGGATCGATACCAGTGGGCAGGACGCTACTGCCCCCTTTGTTCGAAAAGAAGAAACTGTAGACTACAGCACTTGCCAGAGCGGTGCAGTGCTGTCTTTAGACATTGACCCTGGAATCTTCCAGTCTTGGCTGGAGGAGCCACTGCTTAATCACGGTCTTCTGGTATGGGCCGAAATGTCACCTGGAATACAGTCTACACTTCGATTGGCATCTGTTGACAATGGCCAAGTTGAGAAACATCCTGAGCTCATAGTCTCACTTCAAGACACCATTGTTGACTCAGGTAAGTCAAGCGTGTTTTACCATTTTATGATCAATTTCCTTTTTCTTGTTTTAAATCATGGGGGGAATTAATGATGGCCGTTGGACTGGAATCAACAAGTAGCAAGTGGTACATTGAAGTAAACATCAACATCAACAAATATGGGTTTCAGCGGAATATCTCGTCCTGCTTTTTACACAAGTACACGTGTACATGAATGCACAGCTGTGTTCTCACTACCTTTAGAAGTAGCCTGGAGGCCAACCACATTTTGCTTGTCTCCTACCATGTTTAAGAATAGCCACCAAGTTTTAGAACGTGGTCACCGAGTTTAAAATGCTGGGTGCAAAATTAACTCTCTGGAATATTTCATCCACCTGTACACGAACGGTGCGCAATGTAATCCTGATGAAAGGTCTGTGAATGAATGGGTGAAACTGCTTCCCAGTATTGAGTAAAATCTACCTGAGATGTCTAGAGATGTAGTAGACCTGAACTTGAAAGGGGGGAGGGGTCCTGAAGTGGGCCCTAAACCCTACGCAAAACCTTCACCACCCCCCCCCAATATTTTTGTCAGTCCCATCTAAATTGGTAGTTAAGAAATTGAAGGACACTGCAGTGTACTCTACATATTGTGCGACATTAATTCTCAAATGCATGCCTAGGAATTGTTTAAATTATTTCAAACTAGGGAGCAAAATACATGTACAGTGTGTCCCACAGTACGGTATCTGTTTGGAATAGCCTAACCATAGCTATATCAGTTTGGTATTGCATAAATGTACATGTATGTGTACTTAAGAATTTGGAGTGGTGTGTGTTCATTTCCATGACAAGGACAGGTCTTGTATCCTCCTACATGTACTGTACATGTACATGCATGTAGGATCCTCATCTACATGTACATACATGTTGTAGGATCGTCATCTACATGTACATGTACATAGGATCCTCATCTGTATGTAGTACAGTGAGGCACATTATTGTGCAGGTTGCTAATCTTGTTACATTGTCCGCCTGCATGTAATGAGTGCAAGATCTAGCCACTTGATGAGTGTGGGTTAATCAAAAGCAATTGATCGGGCATCTGGTGATAAGTCACTGAATAAATCTACATGCACCACTGCCTATGCTTGTACCGGTATCATTCCGATATTAATTGCCTGAAGTGCTGTTTTTGCTAGGGTCCTTCCTATATCCTGCACAGTCTTCCACCTTTAGGAAATTCTTTTTGCTCTTAACTGTCAAAGTGCATTGATCATGCCCCATGTGAAGCAACAGTAGTTGGAGTTCACTTTTCTGAATTCCTTAGAATCTTTTCAGGATTAATAAACTTGAGAGATTTTCTAAACTTTGGGCTCATTCAGTAACTTTCTATGGCCTTATTAGTGCATTTGATAGGACACAATTCACCACAGGATGTGAATCATCTTCAAAGTGGAATAAAACATTAAAGTTCCAGTACCACAACGTAAGAAATGTTCAGATTTCACTGTAAAAAATGATGTAATGGTGAGCAATATCACTCCCTGCAACCGACCGATGCATGTACATGTATGTACCTCTATACAATTCAGTAAACCAACACAGTTTGCTGGCTTTGTCACTAAGTACCTATTGCAAATATTAGTTTTAAAAAACAAGTCTACGCAAAGAAGACACTAATTTGGACCCTGCTCATCAATTTTTGCAGGAGAGACTAGGAGTGTGTTGTCATGTAAACACGCCACCATTCATAATCACTCAATCAATAAGTACAAACAGATGGCAAACACTGATTGAACATTTTATTTACAGACTGAAATGGAGTGCACATGAATGGCAAATTATTTACTGCTAAATGTACTGTGCCAAAGTTCCTTTTTTCCCTTTTCAATCAATTCCAACAGTGTGGTTCTTATATTTTTCCTTTTTTTCTGCTCGCAGGGGTGGGTTGGTCAGTCAAGGGAAGAGGTAAGGGGAAAATATTTGCCTTTGCCCCGTAATGTACTAAAATTATAACTTTTTTCTCAATTTTTTTTTTCATGGTGGGAAATTCCAAAAAAAGTTTTTCTGCTGTCACAGCCAAAAAATAAGGGTACAGGTAGGCTGGGTGAAAATGAACTAAGACGCCCTAAACATGAATTAAATAAAGCAAAGTTCTGCGCAAGTACAGCCACATCCCGACACAGCTCTGCAGCAGTCTTTTGTCAATGACATAAAAATACATTGAATCTACAACATTGTTACAGCAAATTATAAAGCAGATGGTGTCTGGCATGTTCATTCAGGCATGTGTGCACTAAATTTCCTTTGTGGTACAGTACCTATAGTATGTGCCATACATGTTCCGGTTCCAATATTTCCAGTGAATGTTGGTTTTGTATTAGAAGGAGACCCCACAGCAAGTCAACATCTACCGGTAGGTCATTTCAAATAATTCACAGTTTGAATATTCGACCTTCAATTCAATTAAATATCCGAACGATTCGGTTGTACCAACCGACAAATTGTTGATGAACAAACCATGTACAAAATCATTTGCAATAACACAACCAGTTGTACATTATAATCACAATAATAGCTTCTCACATCTAGGAGTATCTCCAGCCGGGATTTAGCAAGATTTAAGAGACAAACAATCCTGTTGAAAATTTCTATTCCTTTTAAATTTTTAATGAATAATTTACTTTTTGAATCATTAAGATTTCGGACACTTCATTTGAATCCGCTTGGAACAAGCCTCCATAGTGCAATTTTTCTCATAAAAAAAAAATAATGAAATTCTCCCTTGTGCCATACACGGGTACATGTATGTGAAACACTAAGGCATACTGTCATACTAGTGTATATATTGTTTGTTCACCTACATGTATGGCATTGGAGTAAGAGGCCTTTGGGTCAGACCGGTAGTTTTGAGTAAACTTTTCTTTGCTCCCAGGATGTGCCGTAAGTTTCTTCCATTATACTGCTGTTTGTATTTTTGTATTGTTGTGTATTATGATGTGTATTTTTATTGTAATGCCAAATGAAATAATAATAATAATAATAATATGAAATCCACCATTTAGTCTCTGTTTTGAAAAGTTTTAAACAAATTTTAAAAAAATACTAAATAATAATTTTTGTAAATAGAATTAAAAAAAAGAGGATTGAAATGTTTTTTAACAAAAATTAACTCTTGCACTTGGGCCACCATCACCACATGTTTTGGAGAATAGTGCTGCAAGGTACTAGCAAGTACATGTAGTATCTTTCAGGCTGAAAGGATTTGGGCAGAGACCGAACAGAATATTCATTGGCTGCAGGTCCATGTGTCCTTACACCAGCTCCAAAAAAACTGAGCAATGTGTACTTTTACCCACACTGCACACAAGTTGCAGTCTTTACTATCAGTGGTTCGTCTGAGCTGAATTCAGCCCTGCCTTTTCATGCATGCTTCTAAACCAATTAGTTGTAGGAGAAATAGGTCAGACTCCGAATGTATACCACGATCCGCCATCCAGACTCTCCAGTCACCAATCATGATGCAACCTGATGATCACAGAGTTTCCCAGCAGGCGACAGTCTTCAAATGAGAATGTCATCCTACAGTGAGGTCCCATTACCTGACTTTGTTTACTCCCGAGACGATCGGAAAGAGCATCGCTGCCCTTTTCGTCCCTTTTATTTCAGTGGAAAAGATTGCAGTCTGCATCATGTAGGAGGGATGGATAGTGCAGGGCCTTGCCCTCTGTGTTGGGATAATGTTCTTTCTTTTTTTGCAAGGGTGTTGAGTCATGATTTCAAGATTTGACTCATCTGGAAGATCTTGTGAGCAGGGAGGCAGAGCTTGATGTAAACCTATTGCACTGGCTGTCACAGGAATTGAAAAGAAGTCCTGTCAGCCCAGGCAGGTAGTGATTTGTGAGTCTCTGTAAATTGCCGTCAAGGAGTCATTATGGCTTTCAGCCTATTGAAAATTTTGTCTACTGGTATTTCATTTTGTGGCAGATTTGTCCAGAGGGTAGGATGGATTTCTCGAGAGGGTCCTGTGAATATTGCCTGAGCCCTTGACAGAATCAGAAGAAGTCCACTGTCAATCAGATCATGTTCAGATGCAGCGTGGTTGTTTTGGGAGTATAATTTTGTGGTTGAATTTACATATTTTTGTCTCTACACTAATGGATTAATCATTTTTGTGTGTCCTTGCATTTAGAATGAGTCAATTCAGTATTTAAAAAAAACACAAGGTCATTCGGGAACAAAGCATGCATTTGAGTCTGTGCTGGGCTTTGCTGATAAGGCAGACCTCACAGGTGCATCCGAATCACCTCGAACGAGCAGCTTCATTTTGAGAATGCACTGTTGGAATACCAAACTGGCTTGTGCTGTAAAAGTGTGTATGCATGGAGGGAAATAACATAGCCTTTTAGACAATTGCAAGTGTAAGTGAATCAACCGCCAAGAAGCAAGCCAGTCTGTACATGTACAATGTAATTGCCATTCTTAGAACTCTGAACAAACTTTTGGTTAGGCTAATCAACTACCGTATCAGCATAAACATGCAGTCAGCTATGAAAAAAGGGATTTTTTTTCTTTTTTTTGTGCACATTCTGCTAAAAGCCCTTGTATACCATTGATGGTTCATTGATCATCACATTTGCACGTACATTTACCAGTAGATTCTTCAGACAAAGTTTCCGGTAACGTTAGATCCTAGGCCACTTCATTAGGTGTGATGCATACTACCGGTGCTTCACTCAATCTTTACATCATCATTTGATTGCAAACCAGCATCTCCTGTTTTTGCCTTGAAGCACTCACATGTTGCTAATCGGTTCCAGAATTCCCCATCACTGCTGCCAAGGGTCAGTGCTCCATGGTAACCTACAAAGTACATGTACATGTAATTTATACAAATTCCATACTGACAGCTTGCACATCATACTGTACCATTAATTAGGGTCTTGTAGACTTGCTTGATTAATGGACTGTTAGGCACATGTGCTAAATACATGTACCAGTTCATGAAATGTTATTGGCAAATGTACCAGTACATG